ATTCTCAAGCGCGCGCACGCGCACCCAGAGCAACGAAGGCGAGTCGGTAGTTGGAACAGAAACTCTTTTTGCGTACAAAAAAGAGCAGGTAAAATAGCTTACCTACTTCGGATAGCACTGCGCTAACCACGTAACGGCTAGAATAGAGTGGAAGTTCGCCAGAGAAAAGTTTGCTGCTGCTCGCGGCAAGAGCATAAATTATCAACGATTAAATTGCTCGCGAGGGCAAGTATCACCTAGAACTGCTCTCACGTGGGGTGTGTGTGCAATCTTTCCTCTCTCTCTCTCTCCCTCTCTATACCTTCCTTTTTTTCATCCGTTACTGAACTACGTTCCCGTAGATCTCGCGGCGCTTTTTTCTCGCCGCGCCGGCGTCGGCAAACGAAGATCTCGCTTCAGTGAATTCCGAGAGAGAGAGAGAGAGAGCGACATTTCTCGCGATCCTGATCCTCTTCGCGTCTCTAACCCCTATGTTACTCGTCTTTCTCTCTTTCTCTCGTTTGGGTTACGTGCTTAATGAAATAGCAAGCTCTGCGAGTCGACAAACGAGCGCCGCGTTATTCCGACCAAAGAGTGGTGGGAAAGCGTGCGAGAAATTTCGCCTCTGTAACGATTTAATTTGATTGTGACGACGAGGACAACCAAAAGCTTCTATTCAATTATCGATACGATCTGTGGAAATGAAAAGACCAAGGACGCCGCGTCAATTGTAATTTTGTACTACTGCACCAAATTCCAAGCGAAAAATATTTTTCAGCCTGCTTTTATAATACAGTGTCGTTGGCCAAACTGTCGTACGAGTGGGCGTCCTACGTAAGCATTGAAATTCAAATGCCGCAACTCGTAGCCTTGTAGCGAAGGCAATGCGCCAGCACGAGATTGGCTTTAAACTCTCATCAGCAATTCGAGTGGCAGTCAAGCGTATATCGGAGAATATAATCAAGTCGCGATAACAACGTTGGTGAAAAGGAAGAGGAGCACACGTGGACTCTCGTAATGCTGTGGGCGTGGCACAATTACACCTGCACGGCTCTCTCGAAGACACTAGCGGATGCGGCATTTCCTATATACAGCAAGCAGTCTAATAATTATTACGCTCTGCCGACTACATCGTCGCGATTCTTTCTCACGTCGTTTTCTTCTTCCTGGCGTATAGTTAAAGATAGCACTATGTGGGAATGAAGGCGGGTGGGGTCGCTCGCTCACTTTTGGCCGTATATTCCGCGGATATTCCGGAAGCCAGAAAGAGAGAAGAGAGAAACGAAACTATGCGGTTTCGGAATTTTAATGGGCGGCAAGCAGAAGCGACAAATTTCATGACCATTGACGCGCATTAAAACTCTACGGGGGCCCTCGCACCAGCAGCTACTATCTATATTTATAGATGGCGCGATTGCCTGATAGATATGTGCTATTTCTTCAAAGTCTTTTTCAAATTGGGATGACTGACGAAACACCCAGCGCAAATGAGTCGTTAACGCCTTATCAAGATCTTCCGATTGATACGCGGACCTGGCTCGATTCGAGGTAAAATCAAGTTTCTATGATATTTCCTCAGTGAAACTGAGAAAAGACATTTACATTTAATTTGCTACCGGCTCATCGTAATTTATGGCCCATAGCCGGCGGTCGTCTATAAACTCGAGTTTGAGGAAAAGAGATCTTTTTATACATATAGATGCAGGAGATATAAAAATTCATTAGCATTGAAGTAGCGGCTAATTATATGCACACCATATAATCCATAAAATAAAAAGCAGATGAAGGCGCGCCGGAAGGGGGGCTTTTATCTTGGTATAATTGATATTCCATTACATAGCCTAATATTAGCTGCCAACATACAAGAGTACGGAATCGCACGCGGCCGAACGACCAAATAATCAGCTTTCATGAATTCCAAACTGAATTTTCATATTATCTGATCCGACATTTATATTCAAATGAGATATTCTATCCTTGAGAAAAGCTCTTTTACGCAAGAGACTTTTTACTCGCATAAGTAAGCAACATTTAACCTTTAAACATCCCTTTATTTTGCAAACCGAAGGAAAACCCTGCAGACAATTTATTTTGAGATGGCTGTGCGCACGGCATAATGAATTCATTATAACTGATAATACGAGCTCCCAGGCTATAGCGAGACGTACTAGTGCTTCGTGCCAAAATTCAACTGATAAAATAATAATAGCTTCAACGCTCGCTTCCCGTGGCTAGTACTCCGATCAACATGATGCGTCTCCGCCCACTTTCGCTTCCTCGTCTTTTCATTTTCGTTATTATCCTCCGCTGCACTTTCTCCCTTATTCGCAACTTACTTGTTCATTTCTACGTACTGTCTCCTTGCATCCTCTGTCATTTCCTATATTATCAACTGCATCTTGCTTTTTTTCATCGCGCACATCGTCCTTCCCATTGCCCACTGCACACCACAAGCTCATATCGATTTTATTACTCAATCTTACGATCGTACACCGCCCATATGCTACTCGTCGCTTTTATTGCCAATACACATATCTCGTGTCTTTTCTTTTTACCATGCGCGCGCGGCCACGTCTTCATTTACTGAAAAATGATTGCCAACATTCTTTCTCCCTCTCGCTTTCTCGTTTTTCTCGATTTTATTGTTCCGACCGCAAATTACTTTTTACCCGAGTTATTTCCATTTACACCAGACGGCTAACAAACACGCAAGGCATCTTGAGTAAATAAATTCTTCAGTGATTGTACACAAATTTTGCAACTTATAAGCACGTTGTTGTCAAAGAAATTGAGACTAAAAACTTTTTGTGCGACTTGAAATTGACAATGTTTTGCTTATAAATTTATAAAGGAAAAAAATCAAGTTAGGGCAGGCCAGTAAAATTACGTGTCGAAAGCAGAGTGCTTTTGGTTCGATATAGTCGACCGCGATGTTCTCGAAGAAAAGGAAAGAAAAGAACATTGATGCGGTTCTTGCAGTGCAAGTATATCGAGAACGACGATCGATCGATGTCAAAACTCGCTGTGTAGACTTAATGAAGTTGTTCTCGTTATAAATTTTGAAATTTCGTGACGCGCCTAATTACGGAAAATCGATGACAAGACGTCCTGAAAAAGCAGCTTACTTTATTATTCCATGCTCGTTCGGATTAATTTCAATTGGAGCGCATCAAACCCGATTGCATTATCGATTTGGTTTCAGCTCAAATGTTGTTAAGCTTCACGATTTTTCGAGCCAGAAATACAGTTTGATTTGACCCATATCATCGCGTCAAGACTTGAAAGTGATGATATTTTAATGTTTCATACACGTTAAGTATTCGCACTGAAATGGCGAATGGCGCCTACAATACATTAATCAGAAACTGAACAAAAAAATTTGTTGCGTCAAGTCAAATTTGCATTGAAACAATTGGACGCAGAAGCTTTTTGCACAAAGAGCAACATTGAAAACACTCAAATATCTGTTTGTCGACGGGAACGAGAGCGTAGTGGCCCGTCAGTCAAACGTTCACAGAGAACAAAATGCGCTACGCCTCTATCGAGTTGATGCAACGTTGGAGGCGCTTTGCTGACTGTCGTCAAAGTCAACATTTGAATTGCCCTCGACACTTATTTTTTTTTATATCCTCGTGCTCGCTTCGACGCCAGCAATTCCATCGCCAGCATAAAAGAGTCCACTCTTGCGCTCCCACACATGGCAATCCTGTGAGAGAACGAAGAAGAGGCGCTAGTCGGTGAAAAACAAGAGACGGCCTTCTCAAACGGAAGCTGAAGAAAGGAGGGAAAAGAGGAGCGTCAAGATCAAGAGTGTTTAAGGACATTAAAAAAGACAAGTAGCGGCAGCGTGGAGGCGGCTACCTTCTTGTACAAACGTTTCCTCGTGTCGATGTGTGCGTTCGGTTAAACTCGTCAAATGGGTCACTACCACTAGATCGCCATTTGCGACGATGACCAAATGGCTTTTTCTCGAGCACACTCACCTTCGCTCTTTCTCTGTTTATTTATGACACATACGTCAGCCAACCAAGCTGTCGGTAATTACAATTATAATTGACACACGCATGCGCGCGCGCACTCACACACATCATGCAACTTTTGCTACAAGAGGGTGTGACTCTTCATTATTAACGTCGACGCGAAATTCATTTGTCAATGTACAGTGCCGCGACGTGAACATTACAGTTTTCCTTCATGCATTAAATGCCAGTAAATAATAAATACGTATCGACTTGTTCTTCTTGTCAATGTTATAAATACTACGATTTTCTTACTCTTATAGTTCAATCTTTTCTTTATGAAACTTCAGAAAATCTCGCTTAGTAATTACGAAACTACTTAGCACTAACTATCTCTAAAACATTGGCAATGTAGAACGCGAGTAAAATGAAAATGTACAGTTACACATTTTGAAATTACACGATCCCGTTAGAAATTTGTAAGTACTACGGGACTAATTGAAAACTTGTGTCTTAATGTTAACTTGAGAGCAAGCAACGTTTCACTAATAATGACATTGTTATTTTTGGACATTGAGCATAATAGATGTGTTAGGAAATGAAAGGAAAAGCTTAAATAGTATGCTAAAATGCAGAGTACATGGGCTTATACGTATATCTGTTCTGGCAAGGCATCTAATTAAACAAATGAAATCATCAGTTTCTAAGAACTAGCATTAAAATAAAAGAAAAAGATAATGAACGTGAAGATATAATGAAGTAGGAAGAATGGGAGGTGGTGATGCGGTCGGTGTGTTGGCGGGGTGCGCCACACATATTTGTCAAGATATGCCAAATGGAAATTTAACATGCAGAAGCATTAAAGTCGTAGGAGAGAGAATGAAGTCAGTGAGAAAAGGGTAGATATAAGAAATGAGTGTCTGACAGTAGGGGGGCGCAGACGCGAAGAAGCCTCGGAAAAGTTAGCTTGTGTCTGGCGCGACACACGCTGCACACACTGCAGACACGAGAAGGAGAATGATAGTAAAAATAAGAGCAAGATGCTCCGCAAAAACAACTCACCCAGCCACTGGTATCATTTTGAGCGCGAGCGCCCTGCTGATGCAGAAACCGGCGCCACCCGTGGCGAACCAGAATCGGACCTTCTGCTGTAACAGACAAAACGCCAGATTGCTTATTACGATATATACATATATACTACAACATATACATATACATAGAGACATATATACACACAGCCACCATGAAGGCTTATAACGCTCTTCCTTATTTCCTTCATTCTCACTCGGACACGCTTTAAGCTTTTTGGCGCGAGCGAGCCAGCCTGCAATTTATGTTACGACTGCGCAGGAGGGGGTAGCCGCTCAATTAATTTTCGTTAATGGGCCCCGGGGCTTTAGTTCTTTCTTTTCTTGTGCCGCTTGCGCGCACACGCCCGCGACGAGAGTCCAGAGATCGATTTGCGATGCAAGCGCGAGAGTGATGAATGTTTTTGCCGACTAATGGCTCTTCTTCCTCCTCTTCTTCTTCTTCTTCTTCATCCTCTTCTTCTCTCCTACTATTTCTTCTTCATGACCATCACTACGTTTTATCGTATATCGCTTAATTGCCATGACCAATTTCGACGATCAAACGTACATACTTCATCGTTGTATTTCTGTATGAAAACATTATTCGCGTGCGTTAAACCAAGTGCTTGTAAAGTATCTAGCTGGGGATCAAATAAATAAATGACTGCTTAATTCGGTATCCTATAATTAAAAAAAGAAAGAGATCAGTCTTCGTCTTAAAATCACATTGTGTCGTATCGCTTGCACATATATTTCGTCTGTTCGCAATCGATCAAGGTAAAATGCCAACCGGAAAATCTAAAGCACTGATCTCTTTACTGACAGTTTACAACGACAACTTTTTGTAAATTCAGATTGCAATGTAAAATTTTTGATACACGAAGATAAAGAACTGATGTACAGGCGGCGGTCGTGGAGTGGAAACGAAAACGGATGGGATGATTCGAAAGAAGCGTTTTGATGTGTCACACGTGAAAAATTCAAGTGGATAAAACAATCACGCAGATGCATCGGGACAAAAAGAGAGTCAGACATATCTGAAATAATCTGAAGACATATCGATGATCGATGGCAGCCGAATAGTTGCCGAAAAGTCGGCTCGAGCTACTCGAGTAAAAGTATAAATTTATAATTCAATATCCGTTAGTTAACGAATCATCAATAAAATTTCACGCCTCATTGATTTTTGTCAGTCCGCGTACAAGTGTACCACACTCAACTACAATAAACTGCCGCGAGAGAATTGAGAAATTAGTTAGCGCGCAATCGATTGTATCTGCCGGTGAGATCCAAATGAAAACGCAGCTATGGGTGTGTGCGTGGGAGCTGGTGCTACGATTAAACGATCGATCAAAGCGAGCGTCGGCGGAATTGATCGATCCGGCAATCGATACCAACTGTGCGCCTACTCTGTGCAGCAACGGACGCGCGAGCAGGGGCCTTTTCGTACACATTGCGCTATGCGTAGGATTAGTTACGAACCGAATGTATTTTATTGTGCTTGCAACTAACGTCGCTTATCAAATCTGTCGATGAATGACGAAATTTCCGTGACGCTAAACACCGAATGAACGATGATATACACAAAATGAGAATACTCAAAAGTCGTCTTGATGCAATAGGATTTTCGTTATTTAGAAATATTCGTTATTTCTGGATGAAATGAACTGTTTAAGCAAATGAATAAAAACAATGAAAACGATGTTCTTGTAAGAGGTCCGAAGAGGAAATTGACTGCTGTCAGAAGAGGATTGGATAATGTTCGGACTTAACGAAAGAACTTAGTTAGTGACTTTTATTAAAATTCCATTTGCTAAATCTATAGAATTAATTGGAACGCGCATGGAAAGCACTTTTGCAAAGACATTTCCAATCGAAAGTACACACAGTGTAGAGAAACGGCAAACATGAATTGAAGCTGAAGGCAAAAAGGTTCGGCGAACGAAACTCGCGCAGGGTAGATGTTGTCCATTTAGCCAGTTTATCGGTACCAATCATAAAGCATAATGCTCTCGGAGCTCCTGGAAGCGAACGAAAGGAAAAGAACAAAAGGAAACAAGAGCGAGCAAAGCAGAAGAGGAACAAGAGGAGCAGTGCACGGCTTTAAATACGATGAATTATACGCGTAGAGAGAATGCAAAGCTGCTGAAGCGCTAGCGTACAGTGTCCCTTCGCGGTTCTGCCTCCTCCTCCTTTTGGCTTAACGGTTTTTAAGTGGCCGCGCGCCTCAGATTTTACGGGCGCTCTACCGTTCGTGCAAGAGCAGCTCTCTCCTCTCTCGTATTTACACTGATAGTGTCTGCGGGGACGCGCACGCCCTGGCGACGGCAGCTATAGCGCTCACTGGCTGCATCGATGCGTAGACAGCACGCGCAGCCCACTGTGGACGTCTTGACCTGCTGCAAGATTGTATCGGCATTTTTTCATTTTTCGTTCGGGAGTCTATTGTCGGCATTGGTCAGCGAGTTCAAACATAACCACCAATTGGATGCTGCTCGTTAGCAACTGGGTAGAGATGAGGTAGCTCGGCACGTTGAAGGCGAGCAGCGCGCTCTTAATGGACCGCAAAGCGACTTGCGCGGTGTGCACAGCTTTCAACGACAGCTATCGCGCAGCTTTTCTTCTTTCGGCAAGACGAGAAATCTGCGGTCCTTGGCTCTCTCGGCTACTCTCGAACACGGCAACAACGCTTCGTGGGAGGATTTGCGTTGCTTATCCTTGTTTTCGAGATGACGACGACAAGCTGCGTCGCGAAGCTGCACGTGATCTGCTCGACGCACGTTCGGGAAGCTTGCCGGAGTTTCGCGCGCGAAAACGCGAATTCAGCAGAAAACTCATTTGCGGACATACGAGCTAGTAGATGCGTGCGCACGACAATAAACAAATTGCTCGAGATAACGGAATCCCAGTGGTAATTTCAAACCTCCCGCGATCGCAGCAGAGGGCAGTTTACGCCCAAACGTTTTAATGCGAGGATCGCACGCGATTCTCGCACTCGTGCTGCAGCGATAAATTCAGGCGTTTTCGCCAGCCTTGAACATCCCGAAGCGACCGCCAACAAAGTTTCAGTTGGTATCGAGTGTCTGCGAGTGGTCGTCGCGTCGCGGTCGCAATAAACGTCAGGGTGCTCTAGCGCGCTAAGAGAGTGGGTGGCTACGGTGCTACATCAAAGGACTAATGAACCGAGCCAAGATCTCGATAGCCAAGAGTCGGAGTAAATATAGCTAGGTTCCTTTTTCTTTTTGGCGCGTGTATAAGTTTTGTATAGCCGCGCGGGTCTGCTACTTTACGAGTGCACGCGAGAGGAAGCACAACGTACACTCCGCGGTAGCCTACAAGATAACCACCTACTAGTTAGCGATGATTAAAGACACACGGACCTGCTTGAAATATTTCGAGTTGGAGATGAAGGGAAAATAAAGGAGAAGAGCTATGAACATAATTCAGTAACGCGGGTCAATCAAGGGCAAAAAGATCGAAGAGCGGGATAAGCAGGCATCATTAAAGCTGCAACCTGTAAGCTCTTTGGGGCTTTGTACCGAGGGCAAAAAAGAACGCGAACGAAAATGAAAGGGAGCACTAATGAAATAACCCGCTCCGAAGATGTAGACGAGCGAGAGACGTGGTTGCTGCACCGGCGTTTATTGGGAAGCTGCGTCGCGATGAGAAGAGAGCGATAAGCCACGGGGACTCGTTTTAATTATGAGACCAGAAGGTGCGATAAGAGAAAGAGCACGTGCGCGGACGAGCACGTCAGTCGATTTTCCTGTGTGTGACTCGCTAATGATTGACTGTATAGTTGCACATACGAGTTTTCTTTCTCCCTCTGGTTTTTATGGGCCATCGGCAGCGAGCCCGCTGGAATTTTAACAAGAGCGGGTTATAACGACCTGCGCGGCGTGTTATAAATTTTGTCGGTTTCGCTTGATCGCCGACGAGCAACTTGTTTTTTCAGTTGATCGATCCGAGCATCCATCTTGCCGGACGATTCACTTTGCCACGTTGCAGATTAGCCGAGAGCACTAGTCTTAGTCCGTGATACGATGGAAAAGGAAAAATAGGCTCGCACTGCCAAGAGAGCGAGCGTCGTACGCGCGCGCGCGCCCCGCCAGCTTAGGAATGTAACTGCTCGGAGATCCCCGAGTTTGTTATCTCGGCGGGCAATCGGTAGCAGCGTCTCACACTCCCGCGTGGGCTTGGGCGCGTATTATGCACCAGGCCCGTTATCGGTATGCTTCCTCTTTTTCCCTCTTGCGCTCGACATTCAATTGGACGCGCCAGATAACGAATCACGGCGCTCTCTTCGTTCCTTCGATCGCAAGGACAATCGCAAGGACAATATTGTGGAAAAACCAACAGCATTCCAAACGATTGCTGACTGATTGCTGCGGTCTGGATCGTCCTCTTATATCAATTCCGCGGGAGTGCGTCGATCAAGACTTCACGCCTGTCATTACAGGCTCGGGCTAGCTCGGCTGCTGTTGTAGCGCCGATCGAGCCACATCGTCACGAGGTTCGCGAGGATTTGCTTATTTTCATCGTCTGATTGTTCCGAAAATGTCCTTTATAGCGGGTCGAAGCCTTCCGTTGACTACCTTTGCTCACGAAAACCATGAGCCTATTCAAATGCTGCTTCTGATTTGCTCGCACGGCGCGGTGAGCAGCCACGTATTTGTTCCCTCTTTTCTTCGTGTAATGTGTGAGCTATTCTGTGGTTGGCTTCGTTATTAGCTTGGAATTGCTGCGATGCGCGCTGTTACGGACCTCTCGTGGTGTGCTATTGCGGTTAGAGACAAACTAAGCATCGCCTGCCAAAGTGTAAGGCACTATTGGAGCAGTTGCCTCGAAAAAGCGAGCGTTTTTATGCTTGATGTCGCATAAGAATTTCATTCGATCCCGCGGCAACGATCTCGATTCGTTCTCGCCTCTGCCCCGCTGGGCTGGCTCATTTTTGCGCTTGGTTTTATCAAGAAGATGCTTATCTGCGAGCAGCAGCAGAAGCAAAAGCCTATCTCGCGTGTACATCAAAATACGAGAGAGCTCGGGCGCCCTTTTACACGCTTCCTCTGGTTTGGCGG